TGGTCCCGGGTTCGATCCCGGGCGCCGGCGAGAAACAATGGGCAGAGTTTCTTTCACCCTATGCCCCTGTTACCTAGCAGTAAAATAGGTACCTGGGTGTCAGTCAGCTGTCACGGGCTGCTTCCTGAGGGTGGAGGCCTGGTCTAGGACCGGGCCGCGGGGACACTAAAGCCCCGAAATCATCTCAAGATAACCTCAAGATGTTAAGACACACAAACCAGGTAACCTACTAAGCCCGATAATCGGCCAAATATCATCTCCAACCTACCACCTTGCTAATTCAAACTCCTAACTCCAAACACTCCAAGCAACTACAATCTACAATCAGCAGGAGATTTCCTACAAATAATCAAAACTACACCGCCCGAAGTAATTAATGCTTCACTGGACGTCGACTCCTATTTACCAAAGTCCCGGTCGACACCATCATAGAAAGGATCCTGGACAGAGTATACAGAGAGCACCCCCAAATTAGATATACCTGAGCTATACCTGAAGAGTCTTCTCGAGGCATGAACAAAGGAAGCTCCTATCAGTCCGCAAGGTAACATGTATCTGCAGATTGTCGGAGTAGCAATGGGCTCCCCCTCTTAGGAGTGTTATTTGCTATTTTTTGCATGGGAACCATCGAGGAAAGTCTTCAGAATCAGTCACAATCCTAGCATAAACTGCCGTTATGTCGACGACATGTTTGTAATAGTAAAAGACCGAGAAGAACTAACTGGTCTAAAAAACCATCTACAGAGAGAGTCAGAACTCCGATTCACACACGAAAATAGTAAAAATAGCATTCTGCCAACAAAATAAAAAAACAGAAGCATCTATAAGCACCAGCGTATATACTAAGCCTACAAACATAGGACTATGCCTTAATGGTAGGAGTGAGTGCCCCCAAAGAAACAAAGCCAGTGTTCTCAACGCTTATATTAGTTGAGGTCTTACCCACTGTTCTGAATGGAGCAACGTGAGTAGGGAGTTTGAGAGGATAACACAAGTATTGGTGAACAATGTTATAGTGACCACGAGGTAAACACCACTATAAGACGACCCTTGGACTCCTGGACCAAGAATAGAAACCACAACACCACTTTTAAAATAATATTACAAATCCACCATGCACAATACATGAAAAAGGAAAGAATAATACAAGAAATAATCCATAAAGGAGTATAAGGCTTAACCCCTAACCAAAACCATAGACATCTTCACATTCAAAAAACAAAGAAGACTATTGGCCTCATTAAAAACAATCCGAACAGTACCAAATGAGAACTTATTGCAGCAGTCAGACGTGGTATATATGTACTCCTGCCCCTATGAAGGGTAGAATGATCTAAGTACTAATCTAAGTAAGTACATAGGTAATTAATCTAAGTACATAGGTATGAAGTCCACCAAGCTCAAGATATAAGAAGAATTCACATTCTCTGAGCTGTACACATGAGAGTGGAACAACTCACCACAAACACGCAAATAACAGAACTATACTACACTCTACCCACAATGAGAGTGAGAGTGAGGCTGCGATCTGAAAATGCCAACGATGACGTCACTACGCAAAATGTCATGCCCACTATGGTCACCTGAGTTCCAATTACCCAATCACCTATCACAAATATTACCAATTATGAGGCTATCTAATTGATATTTTCTGGACTTGCAGTAATATTATCTAATCCACATATTTTAAGAAATAAAGACCATAACATTTCAAAACTGATTTACACTCCACAATTTTGCATGAAGGAAGGAATTATCAGGGGGAAAGCCCCCCCAAGCCATTACGACTATTTAGCAATAGAAAGGGGTCAGAATAAGGATATGGGATGGGCCGGGTGGGAGGAATGGTGCCCAACTACATGGGCGGTAAATGATTGACCGCCGGCCTGCAGGAAGCGAGGCCGTCGCTCTACCGTCCAGTCTATGAATTAGTCCAGTCAATTGAATGATTACAATCTCTAACGTGAACAAACAATGCATTGGACTTATGACCTGTTCTTATACAATATTTGTGTTATTTTATTACCTGGTACACATACTCACCTGTTGGGCCAACATTCAACTTATTACAGTCATAACGTGTAACTGTATACACACAACCTGAGCAATTATTAATGAGGGATTTTTCATTGTATTAAGATATGATATATTTATATTATTTTTGTAATTTAGGAATGTCACAGAAGTTATTTCACAGAGAAAAAGAAAGATTAAGATAAAAATGAGAGATAAAGAAGGGAGAGAAAGTCACAAGAGAAAGATGAGAAAGAGAAGAGAGAAACAGAGGCAGAAAAAAGTTGAGAAAGAGGATAAAAAGAAAAAAGAGGGAGAGAGAAAAAAAAAGAGAAAGAAGTGGGAGAAAATGAGGTGATGTAGAAGATAGAAAGTAGAAAGAGAGACAGAGTGAGAGAGGAGGGAAAGAGATAGAGAGAGAAAAAAGAGGAAGGGAGAGAGGGAGGTGGGGGGGGGGGCGAAGCGAAAAAAAGATGTAAAGCTGGAATAAATAAGAGAACGAAAAAAAACGAGATAAATAAGAGACGAAAGGTGAAAGGGAAAGAGGACTGAGAAAGAAAAGTGAAAACAAAAGTGGAGAGAGAGTAAGAAGAGAGAAAACGAAACGAGAAAGAGAGAGAGAGAGAGAGAGATAACCCTATGGCCTATCTTCTGCTTATGGAAGAAGGCAGATGTTGTTCCAGTACACAAAAGGAAGGGCCGCTCAGTGGTTGGTAACTACAGATCAGTATCATTGCACTCCATTACTGGTCAAATCCTTACATAATTAATTGCTCAGCAAATTATATAAATTGTTTACAATTATCGG